CTTAATAATAAAATAAAATTTTAGATCTTTTATAAAAATAATAATAATTGGTCAAATTAACACAGATGTGTTAAATAATTAACATAGATTGATTAACCAACGAATTTTAATACGCAAATACAAAACATAAAATACGCTAATGATACACCACATTGTTTATGACGCATTTTCTGAAAGCTTTTGTTGTACGCAAGACACGTGATAGTATAGAGGAGACGAAGATTACAGAAAACAGTATACAGTATACTCGTAATCTATCTCATTCTCTCGCAGGCTAATTATGAATATGTTTGTCTCTTTTTACTGTTGCTTTTTCGTTGCATTGAATTTATAAATATGTTTGTCTCTTTTTACTGTTGCTTTTTCGTTGCATTAAATTTTCAAATCACAACGGTGCCAAAGAAGTTTCACTTTAAAAATTGACATTATGAAAACTAAAAATTAAAGGAATTTTGACAAAAATAACAATTAAAATTAATATTGTTGATTACGCATGGAACCACCTTTATTATCAGACTTGTCAAGGTATATAATTCTCAGTCCATAGGTGTCTTAGGCCTCTACTTAGAAAGCAGGTTTTGGCCTACTATACCACGCTGGCCAGACGGGTTGGTATAGGGTTTGTTTCAAGTTTTCCTTCTCTCTGCAGTGCTGCTGTCCTGCGTAGTTTCCTCCCTCAGTCAACTATGAGATGAATAGGAGTGTACCTGCCCTTCAACCTATCTATTTTCTTTACTCCATTTGAGAAGGAAGAAGACTACCTTTATCTCGTCTGAACCCACGACATCTGGTGTATCAGACTGAATTACGTAAAACTGAACTAACAGGTCAATGATGATAAATAAACTATAATTATTTCAATTTAATCAGTGCTTTTATGTAAATGTATCCTAAAGGAAAATACACATTTTATTTAATCTTCAGTATATTTTCTTTTTAAAAAAAGCACTTTACTAAATTAAAAATTCAGTCCAAGCATTGTAGTAATGACAGAGAATAATCGCCATCATTCATCCGACACCGGACTGGTGTGGGAGAATGCCACGAATTAATTTTATTTTAATGTCAGCGTGTTCAAGAATTCAGAGTTTGTTTTGTTGAGTGAAATAATTAGGAGAATTATTTCTCCGCATGGATTTGTATATTTCATAACACATTTTTATAACGCTTTTGCTTGTCTTGAAAGTTACTAACTTACTGAATGATTAACAAATTAACTATACATACAAGACTATTTTAACTCAGCTCGAATTTATCAACAACCTTTAATAGTCCACTGCTGGACATAGGCCTCTCCTTAGAAAGTTTGGAAAGCTAGATAGACAGGTTGGTATAAAGTTTCTGTCAAGGTTTCTGTCTCTTTGCAGTCGTGCGTAGTTTGCTTCCTTAGTCGGCTCTTACGACACGATACGAAATAGGGGTGGTGACACTCTGTATTCTTAATCCGTTTTTTGGAAATAAATCTATTCTTATAAGTAAAGTTTGGATACAATACTACAAATTAGCATCTTGGAGGAGTTTGAGCTAATCTGTAGACAGCGCCAGGAGGTGGATAGCGAAACTTAATTTTACTTTTTAAGTTATTTCACTTTTTTTAGATTAATTTAACTGTGTTATGTTATTTTTTTTATGCCAGCGATGTTATGAATTAGACGAATAATTTACCAACAAGGTTCTAAGTTAGTACGTAGCTTGAATAAACCAAAATATAATATTTATCCCCTACGGAGTAACGTTTATTAATACTCGTACGTGAAGAGAATTCTCATTGTTATTAATTAACATTACTAGCTTCGTAATAACCAAGCAATTAGCGTTCAAACATTTCGCCTTGTTATAATATATACCTATTTAGTAACTTTGACCTTTGATCCTCTTTATAGGAAAATTCCACAAACGCAGGCGTGTAATATTTACAATATAAAAATTGTATATAGGTTTTTGTAGAAGTTAGAATTAAAAAAGAACTTCTAATATATAAAATTCTCGTGTCACGGTGTGCGTGGTTGAACTCCTAAACGATTTTCGTGAAATTTTGTGTGCATATCGGGTAGGTCTGAGAATCGGCAACGTCTATTTTACATACCCCTTCAAACTTGACACAAACCGTATACCAACCCGTCTGGTATGGTAGGCCAAAACCTCCTTTCTTAGGAGAGGCTTATGTCCAGCAGTGAACTGTTAAAGGCTGTTGATGAATGAATGACACGTAGTTAACATCTGAACTATTTTTTATACATTACTACAAGAGTTTTAAATAATGATTAAATAAAACACGAAATAAACTAAACACAGTACATGTAATGTTATGTTGTTAATATATAACGTAACGTTATATATATTACATCACTATAATACTACACAACATTCTATAATTTATATAATGACCAGAATATTCGTCTTATGTACTTAAAGACCATATATTGTTTCGTAATAGGTAAGTATGAAACAAAAAATTTAATTCTATAAATAACAATATTATTATTTCAACAAAAATTGCAGGATTTTAGTACGTTACAGTTTTCAATAATATTACGTAAATTCTACAACTTTAAAATTAAAATAATGTTTCACCTGTTTAAGAAACATTAGTGTCGCGGTAAACAAAATGGCGACTGAAGTTTTTAAATTTTATCCTCAATGAACTAGTCTCCAATACACATCGCACACACTTTAGACAATCTTATTCAATTATAAAACATATTTTACTTAACATCACCACTTTGTATAAACTTCAATTATTAATTACTTTAAACATTTGCATAAAAGCAACTTGGAATACTTTTACGAAATTCATAAATTATATTTACCTAATTACACTTTTATACAGTAAATGTGAGATTATTAGTGCATCCGGAAAGTTCCACAAACCCTGGAAAGGCGCCAAGCTCCTTTCATAAAGGAGAATTAAGTATTTGAATTTCAAGTTATATATTAAATGAGTTGGGGTCAAAAACTTGCTATAAAAGCTGAAGTCCTTTGCAAAGTTCTCAAATGTTTTTGTGATAATTAATGATTTAGCTTGAAATAGGTGGGAGAGACATGTTTCGGCAGATAGAGTGACGACTGGAGTGTTACTGTCTACCAGAAAAGTAGTGTTAAGTAAGTCTTTTGGTGCTTTTCACCGAGTGAGTGAGGTGACAGAGGCTAAAGCCTTCCGCCCCTACCATTTTTGTAGGGGAGAGGCAATTAACAACATAATATAATAATATTTTTTATGAACATCTAACACACAACGCCATTTAGTTTCATGAAAGCTAGATTGACTGATAGAATACTTATATTCTTTATTTTTGTAAATACGTACATTATTCTGTATTCCTCTGGAACGCTCTACCTCTCGAAATCAAGATAGCACCCAGACGCCTCTCATTTAAGACGAAAGTCCGAGCTTAAATTCTCGCCACTCTAGCAGATTCATCACATTCCTAAAGTTTTATATAATGTATTATGTGTGTATATATGTATGTATGTATCTAACTCATCAAGTATATATGTATGTATATCTCGGTATGTATGTGTGTATATCTGTCACATTGTTTCCGTTCATATCCTTCATGATTATTATCTCGTTAACATAAAAAACTTAATTTCTAGTGCACTTACTCAGTCATTTCCCCAAAACCCAAAGATAGACTGGGAGAAAATGCCTGTCGCATTAAGTAAGCGATTGTACAATGAATTGTTATTTGTGTAAAAGTAATTAAATTAAAAATATATGCTTAAAAAACAACAAAAGAAATATTTGCAGATCATACAAACATTTGGTCCGATCCGGGAATCGAACCCGAGACCTTAGCACAGCAGTCCCATACGCTACCACTGCACCACCGAGGCAGTCCACAATTAAAAAGCGACAACTCACCTTTGTGTCGTACCTTCTATACCAAAAAAAGGTATGGTAATGGTGATGTAGTGATCTCTTTGGTAAAGTTGTTTTAAAAAAAGAAATTGAAACCATAAGTTCTAAACTAGTTAAAAGTTATGTTTGAATTTCGAATATTGAGAAAAAAAAAGATTTGAAGAAAATGAAAACCATGCAACCTATTTATTGTTTTACATGATAAAAAAAAAGATTAAGTAATTATAATACCTATGTATTTTTACGTTGATTACAATACCTAAGTAAAAATTCTGTATACAGGATAATAAAATTATAAAAGACTAATAAATTTATTTGTTTCTAATCTTTGTCTAATATTATTAAATTTATTTCTGGGTCATGTAAGATACGTTTATTATCGTAGTCAGTACCATTTCCTTTTCATTTCCAGTAGATTACGGTTGGTATCTACTCTATTATGCACCGCTTGACGTGACTAATGGGCTCTTCCATAATATAATTGTAATAAGACAGCATTACTATGTTTGGTCTATTTTAACTGATTAGTTTTGTTACCAAAGCCACATGAAAGAGGAAGAGTATAACATTTGGTAACAGCATAACATCATAAACATGAAAGCTTTTCTTTGACATTCAATTTGTATTCGATTCGATTCGATTTCGAAATTCAATTTGTATTACTTCTAAATTTAAAATATACTTTATTTATTACTCTGTGGATACCTCATTGATGCGTTCGAAAACCTTAGCACTATAATTATATTTATTTCAAAATAACATAATTTTAATCACTAAATATTGTCTACTTTGTACGTGATTAGAATAGTTTAAATGACGTACAAAGTAGATTGCATAATTATTAAGATTTATTTTTAGATCAATAATATGTCAGAATTTAGTAAAGCACTACAAAACAAACTATAAAAAACTGTCTGGCTAGCTATTGGACACTATTTTTTTACGCTTTCACAGCTTTGACATTCTATCTAGACATATAATGATCTAAGACCTTATTGAATAAATTATTTTTTAATTTTACTAAATGCTATTTGAATGGTACTTTGGAACGTCATAATCATTCCACATTTAAAATTATGAAAAAATAAATGTACTTATAAAATTTAACTGAAAAAGTATCATTATAACGGCCAGTATGTCATGTTTGTGGGGTTTCGCTCTTGACCGGGCCTTCTTCGTAACCTTTGACCAAGTTCTCTAATATAAACTTTATGGTTAATTTATAGAGATTCTCTATGTTCGGAGTGTATCTATCGCCGAGAGTCGTCTTCGCTGCTTGCAGGAAAGGCTCCTCCACTTTCTGTAATAAATAAATAAAATTGAATAAAATAATAACAATATGTCCGAGTGGTGACGGATTAAGAATACACAGTGTCACCACTTCTATTCATCCTGTGGGCGTCGTAAGCCGTACTCGTATGTCGTATGTGTATTTGTGCATATGTCGTGTTCAGAGGGCCTAGTGCAAGTTTACTTCACTTCCACTCGATCGTCACGGTGATCGCGTTCGGCGCTGCTATTGGCCCGTGCTGAAATCTTCACCAATCGCAACGCAGAACGCGCTCACTGTCGAAAGCGAGTTGAGGTTAAATAAACTTACACTAGGCCCTCAGATCTTAAAGTGGAAATCTAGTGACTTATCCTTCAATCTTCTTGAAGGCTGGTTTGAATCGATATATTCAATATGTAGGATGACCATACCTCTTCTATAAATTGTGCTTTATGTATTGGTGATATCTTTGATTACTTCAATTGCTGCGACATTCTTATACAGTTAAAGTACTTCAGCCAATTTAAGTCAAAATACGAAGTAAACCTTTGATCTTTCCAATATCCACCGATCAGAGACTACCCCCTTTTGAGTCCGAGAAATAATACATCCAGTTCCTAGAAGAACTCAATTTAATTACGTAAGAAAAATAATTTGTAATTTTTCCCTTTTGAGTTTAAAAATGAGCGAACTGAAATAAAACGAGCTAAGACCGTTTTTAATCAGTTACAGGAGGTATCGGATTTACTTACTCAAATTTTTTCAATGTTCTTAAGGATTTACAGAAATTGAATTTCTTAAAGTAAAATATTAAAAGAGAACACGGGTTTTTAAAGGCTTAGAACATTTAAAAGCGTTTTTATATAATTTTTGGCTTATGTATTGTATATATATGTATTTATTCAGACCGTAAGGAAATTTACACATAGATAACTAGATTATTCTAAGATGCTAGACAGTTGAAGTAGGACTACCACGGAATTTCAGACAGGACACCATGTCGCGGAAGACTTCATGAATTACTGGAATTAATTACTAGTAACATTAACGGTGTGGTGACTTTGCTACAACGATGCCAGACGGTTAAGGAAAGCAACAAGCCAACGCCATTATTGCATTCAAATGAGAAGAAGTTATTGTGAGGAACTGTCTACTTCGGGCACGCCGTCATTGCGGCGGTAAGACCCGTTATGGAGGATTGGCTCGAGAGGCGTCACGGGACCCTCTCATACCGATTGACGCAGGTGATCACTGGGAAGGGATGTTTCGGAGATCACCTGTGTCTGATCCGCAAGGAGTCAACGCCTGAGTGCCACCACTGCGATGGCCAGACCGTGGACACGGCTCTCCACACGCTGGCAGAGTGCCCAGCGTGGGTTGAGCAGAGGCGAGACCTCGTGGCGGCCATCGGAGTGGGAGTTCTCTCGCTCGATAGCCTGATTGCGGCTATCGTGCGGAGCGAGAGTGCGTGGAACTCTGCCGTCTCCTTCTGCGAGCAAGTTATGCTCGCGAAGGAGACGGCGGAGCGGGACCGGGAGAGGTTTAGAACTCTCCCGGCCCGCCAGGCCCGGGCACGGCCGGAGGTCTCAGAACGACCTCCGTCCTCCATAAGCGCAGGCCTGGGGGTGACAGGTGAGGCCATCTGTCACCCTAGCAGAAGCAGGCCGGGGTGGCGGCGAGCGCGTTGCGAAGCGCGCTCGCTTCCAGGGAGCACAGGGAACATGGGGTTCCCACACGGGGGGGGTCGTCTACTCGTCTGTAGATGACCCGAGGTATGTCGGGGCACCAGGGACTTCCTTTCTAGGGTATACCTGGTTCCCCGGCTGTTATAGTTAAACCGCCGTAAGCTTGGCCCTCCTGATGGTTTGCGGGACGCGGGGCGGGTGATGCGCTCGGCTATACATGACACGATGTACTAACTCGATATCTTTAGATTTATTTGTTTGAGATTTAATCTACACACGATGTAATAAAAATCGAATTTATTTCCATGTATTATAAGATCAGTGTATTGTAAGTTTTTAGGATTAATTGTAAAATTTAATACTGTAAAATAATTTTAATAAAGTCACCTTATCTTCATCATGTAAATTATATTCAGATACAATTTAAAAATTAAGTAAAATAATAAATATTCTTTATTAGAACTTTAACAGTAGAACCTCTGTAAGCCGAACTTCAAGTTTTTAAATCTTTTTGTGACACAGAGTCGGCAGATTATCCATGTTGCAAAATAATACCGTGTGTAGCAGTCTTAAGAAAAATAACACGTACAGCCATGCTTTCAAGTCAGTCACTGCCGGCGGACAGCGACGCACTAGCTAATTGGTTGAATGCACCCCCGCCCCGCGTCCCCCAAACCATCAGGAGGGCCAAGCTTACGGCGGTTTAACTATAGTACCCGGCGACGGCGTGCGGTTTTAGTCGGTTCGAGTCCGACATGCCACCGACAGGTGGTATCCGAGGGGATCTCCGCAAGAAAAAAAAAAAAAAAAAAGGAACTGTCTACTTATATTATACATTTATTTAATACTAGTTTTGCCTGTGACTCCGCCTGCATGTATGTCGGTTACTCGCTGATAATGTAGCTTTGCATTGGTGAGAGAATTTTTTAAATCGATTGAGTGGTTCAGGAGTGAAAGCGTAACAAACAAACTCACTTTCAAATTTAGAATAAAAGTATGAAAAAACAAAGATACTGTAATTGATTTTCTCAACAAAATTATCAGATAACAGACAATCCGATCGTTTGACGCGTCTTTATGCTGTTGAGAGGCCTTCACCCAAAATTGCTTGCAGTTTTAGATACGTAGTTTTTTCGAAACCAGAACCGGCAACATGTCATATTTGAAATAGGTAATTAATGTTTATACGTAGAAAAAGAGCTGAATACTAACATATAGAATAATTAAAAAAAAACGGCTACATATAATCCAGTACTTAATTAGATCTGTCATGTTTATTCTGCAATGAGAGTTTACGATATACTCGTTAATTAAGTAACAATATTCAAGTCGTTCGAAATTAATATAAACCGCCATGCGCCAGGCAATATTTAGTACATCAGTTTAGTAGATAAGGTCAATGAAAAGGAGAAGGAGGTAACTGATAAAAATGAGAACTGGACAGTAGTAGATAGAAGAAAAAACAAATATTCCAACGGTGAAGTGAAGAGAGGGGGAAATATGACTGTAAATGAAATTCAGGGCATAGAAAAGAAGAAATTCTTACATGTTTGGCGTTTGCAGAAGGAAACTACAGAAGAAGATTTGGGAAAATATGTAAAAAGTGTATGTGGGTCGCAAGTATCAGTTAAAGTTGAAAGACTTAAGCATAGGACAGAAAGGGACTATGCTTCCTTTATTATTGGCATACCGGAGAGTAAATATGACAATCTATGTCAACCGGAGATTTGGCCAGTGAACGTGGAATTCTGCGAATGGGTGTGGTTTCGTAGACCACCCCATAAAAAACCGGAATAAGTCTATGGTGGAAATTTATTACCAGAACGTGAGAGGCTTACGAACAAAATTGGAGGAGTTTTATGTGGGAGTATCATCATCTAACGCAGATTTACTCGCTATAACAGAAACGGGCCTAAACGAATCCATTTGCGACGCGGAAATCATACCTCCCGGGTACACAATATTAAGGTGTGACAGAGCGGATGGGCGAAAACAAGGCGGCGCGTGTTTAGTGGCCACACCGCGTCTCGAACTGCGAAGAATACCGGTTCCATGCGACGTAAAAATTGACAATCGAGTATTCGAAATAGTAAGCGCTACAGTCTATTTAGGTAATAGGTTTTTGTTTCTAGTTTGTGTAGTATATATACCGCCAAATAGTAGTGAAAATGAATTCTTGTCATTATTCAAAATTATAGAACAGTATTGTACTACTTACAACGAAGTAGTCGTGTTGGGTGATTTTAATTTATATTCCTGTACTACAAGTATAATTAATTACTATGATTATTTTGTAACTTATTGCGGATTCACTCAGAGCAATAAAATATTGAATTGCAATAGCCGTTGCCTAGATCTCGTGTTGACCACTTACGTGGAGGGAGAGTGTGTGTGCGTGCGTGCGGCTGAGGAGCCACTAACCGCGGTAGATGCATACCATCCGCCGTTGCAGGTGTCTGTCAGATCGTGTGGGCATCGGAGTACTAATGCAGGGGCGAGCTATGACTCATTTAGATCGGACGTAAACACACAGAACGGTTGGAATTTTAACAAAGCAGATTTTACATTGTTGTACTCAAAGATTGCTGCAATTGACTGGACTCCTTTATATAACTGCTTTGAATTGGAAATGAGTTTAAATTATTTTTATGATACTTTAATTATAATTATAGATAGCTGTGTACCCAAAAAAAAGCGAAGTCGTATACGCCCTGGATACATTTATCCTGAGTGGTATACGAGTGAGATAATTCGCGACATAAGACGAAAAGCCACTCTTCACAAACAGTATAAGGCTACTGGTTCAAGAGTGGATTACGAGGCGTTTGCTCAGTGTAGAACTCTAGTCAAAATTAGGCTGAAAACGGCACAAGAACAACATAGGCAGCATGTACAAAATCACATGGCAAGCGACCCAAAATCTTTTTGGAATTATATAAATTCCAAAAGAGGAAATAGGAGCAGGGTAAGAATTTTAAAGGACGGACTGGCCTTGACGGGTGAACAAGCAGCTGATGACTTTGCTAAGTATTTCTACTCTGTCTATACCAAGGAGAAGCCCAGGTTGGATGTGGATAGAGCGATAGTGGAGGCAGGAACAGTCAACGGAGCGGCGCGAATTCATCTCGACAGACTACAATTAGATGACGTAATGTGCGCGCTTCGACGATTGAAACCAAAAAAGTCGTCGGGACCTGATGGTCTGCCACCATACATATTTAAGAATTGTCGTAAGATCCTAGCGCAGCCGCTATTGCACATCTTTAATATTGGCCTTGCGTCTGCGGTGTTTCCAGAAAGGTGGAAGATGACCCGGGTCATACCGGTACCGAAGGGAGGTTCGGGTACTACAGTAGAGGAATATAGACCAGTTGCGGTACTGTCAACACCGGCAAAGGTACTGGAATCAGCTGTTCAGAAAAATATATATCTCCAAGTGCGTTCACAACTTTCAGACGCGCAACACGGATTTCGACCTGCAAGAAGTACCACAAGTAATCTGCTAAGCCACGTAATGGAAATGGTACCAACAGTGGACAATGGGGGGCAGATCGACGCCGCATACTTCGACTTCAAAAAAGCTTTCGACTTGGTCGATAATGACATGTTGCTGAAGAAGTTGGCAGGCGTCGGATTCACTCCGCATCTACTTAACTTCTTTGCAAGTTATATGAGTGACAGGCAGCAATATGTGGAGTATGCAGGACACCAAACGCGACCATATTTTACTAGATCTGGCGTCAGTCAGGGAAGTAACTTGGGTCCTTTGGAGTTTTTATTAATGGTTAACGATCTGCCGAGTGTCATACAAGAGGCCAAGTGTTTGTTATTTGCAGATGACCTGAAATTGTCTCTCGCTGTTGGAAGCATGGCAGATTGTGAAAAGCTGCAGAGGGACATAGACAGAGTCGTTAGTTGGAGCAAGCAGAATCGGTTGCAGTTTAACGTGTCGAAGTGTGTGACTATCTCATTCTCACGTGCACGCACACCTATCCAACACAAGTACACGATGGAGGGGACTGAGATGACCAGGGTAACTGAAGTGAGGGATTTGGGAGTGCGTTTTACCACTGAGCTAGCGTTTCGTGATCACGTACTCAAAGTCTGTAAAAAGTTTATAGGAACTTGGGGTTGGTACTTCGTATGGCTAAAGATTTTACCAATATAAAAGCTGTTACAGCATTATATAATGCTTTAGTTAGGAGCCAACTGGAGTGTAATGCAGTTATCTGGGCTCCACATGAGACTAAATATAGTCTCATGTTGGAGCGGGTGCAAAATAAATTTATTAGATTTATTTACATGAAGTTGTACGGAGTCTATCCTTTTTATCCGTTAATGTATCCTACCCTGTTTATATTAGGTATGGTTGGATATAATGAACTGAGGGTCAGGAGGGAACTCACACTCGTAACCTATATCTTTAATGTGATTAGAGGGGGAATACATAATGCAGATGTATTAGAGAGGGTGGGTCTGTGTGTCCCAGACGGCTACGCGGGACGTCGGCGGCGACCGCGCCTTCTGGCGGTGCCGCGTGCACGCACTAACTTACTACGCGAGGCACCTTTGACGCGCGCGCTGCGCACACTCAACGTCATAGCTGACGATGTGGATATATTTTGTTGTTCTCTGAGTGAATTTACAATTATAGCACTAAGTAAAATTTGTTAATTTAGTTTGTAATTTGGTTTAGTTTGGCTTAAGTTTAATTAATGTGGCTACAATATCGCCTTGGAATACTGCTGTAAAGATATTGTAAGAAAAAATAAAATAAATAAATAAATAAAATCAACACCCTGAATAGTCCATTGTTGGACATGGGCCTCTCCTTAAAAAGCACATGGAATCGATGGCAAAAAATAGTATAGGCTGTTTTAAGTTTCCTTCTCTTTGCAGTGCTGTTGTCCTGCGTAGTTTGCTCCCTTAGTTAGCTCTTAAGACAATCACAGGATGAATGGGGGTGGTGACCTTCTGATTGAGAAATCACGACAAGTATAAATGGACATTTTTACACATCAAGTTTTTCTAAAATATACATAATACAGTATTGCTAGATATATTTCAGATCTACTTGTAAATATTATTCACGTCACATTTTACGGTAAGTGCACAGGAACGAAGATTGCATTTTGTATAAAACTAGATGCATTTGATGCATATTTTAAATGGCGTCTTCACTTACACTAAAATATTTTTCTACATCGACGTGCTTTTAAAAGTGTATCAAAGGAAATAAACTTTTTTAATAATAGGTCTTTACCTATGAAATTGCCGTTTTGTACGCAATAAGTGAAAGTACTTATTTTTTCAAACTTTTTTATTTCTGTTATTGATGCCCTTCTTGTAAAAATCAGCTGGACGGGAGGCAAAAAACTCTACAAAGGCATTTTGTACTGCCTTTCGGGAATTGAATTTTTTACCCAGTAAAAAGTTGCCTTAATTTTGGAAAAAGTAATAGTCGGTAGGTGCAAGGTCACTTTTTTCCTCGAAATTTGAGTGTCTCGAAAAGGTAATAAAAACAATAACCTTACACATCTCACACACGGCCATCTGATCCCAAACTAGGCAGTACAATGGTAACTAGACTGCTGATAAACATACTTATATATTCCTAAATACATACAAATTATAGATAAATTACACACAGACACAAAGCAAATAATTTTGCTCATCGTACAATATTTGTATAATCTAACCATTGACCGCATTTCTAGGGTTCTGTACCTCAAAGGGAAAAAACGGAACTCATATGGGATAACTTTGATGTCCGTTTGTCTGTCAGTCCGGATGGCGTAGTGGTTTAACGGCGGCGGCGGTCGCCACGCCCCTTACTACTGTTCTGAGTCTAGGTGTTCTTTGTGTCCGTTTCATGTATGTTTGTAAAGCACCCTGCGACACAGGATATATTTCTGATGCGGGAGTAGTCTTGCAGTAGATGAGATTCTATTCTAGACCTATTTCTTATAATAAATCCAGACAGCGTTTTTGTTTAAAAAAAAACCTTTGTCATGCTTTTTTTTCATTCCACCCCCTCCACTGTAACATCAGTATCCACAGCAGTGACCCACGAACACACCCACTCGGGAAGTCCCAGGAAGAAATTAAACTGTCTTGGAACCCGAAATGAAATTAATCAGAAGAAAATTGGAGGAGTTGGAAATACAGTAAATTGTCATGCTTAATTTGCAGAGGCCTATGAATATACAGATGGCGTAGTGGTTTAGGCGGTCACCTCGCCGTTTCGCCGGTCATTGTTTGTTCGATCTCCACATGGGATCCCCCCACTTTATGTGATCCACAAATTGTTGTTTTGAGTCATAGTGTTCCTTGTGCATGTATGTTTGTACAGTCCCTCACAACCCAGGATGTATTCCTAGTGCGGGTGATGCCTTTTTAAAAAGAAAGAAAAAGGAAGAATTTACGTAAATCTTGAAATCTAACATGATAGTGTTAAAAACCTACCCAGAAATTCTCAACTTTGAATCCAGGAACCTGGTGATGTGTGGCTCCAACATGTCTGACGTACGCGAAGAACGCATCAATGTCACCAAGCCCTTTGATGCCCTCATCCAGAGTCTTCATGACCTTCGTAGCATGTTCAGCTAGCTCCTCAGAACTGGCTAGTTCTCCGTTCTCTTTCAGTTTAGCAAATTTCTCGAACAGATGGAGGAGTTCTTCGTTTTCTTCAAATAATCTGTAATAAAAAAATAGACAATTAAAGAAAGCTTGTTATATGGCTTCTACAATTCATCATCATTTTCATCATCATCATCACACACACATATATACTTTTTATTGCACACACACATAAATACATAGAAAGACCAATGCAATGGGACAAATTCATGTATACAAACATTGCAGTCGAACCCGAAGTCAACAGCGGGGCTATTAAAGGCATTATGGGCGCTTCAAAACGGTTGTCATTTTGTTATAAACTTGAAGATATTACCAGTACTGAAGTTATATCATAAAATTCTCTCATTAATATTTTCATTAGTATGATTTAATATTAATAACTATTGGTCAACCAAACAAGAATAATATTTAATAAGTGGTTTACGTAAATGCTTGTGAAAACAGTTTTAGACGGTTTTTGTTCTCTCCATAAAAATATAAAAGCTTTAAGCGTTTCGATTCACTACGTGTGACGACAGTGGAGTGGTATTAAACTCCGGAGAACTTCCCGCATATATCTAGTGCGTAAATATAATATGCTTTATTTATAATACCCAGTTTATTTATTAGGTAGTTCTAGTATTAAGCTACCACAAAAGCCCAATGAACAATACGGTGGATTACATTTTCGTTATATTCGCTTTGTTCATGAAACAAAACATAATTAATGAATACACTCCCTCTTCTACTTAAGCATTACGCAGGTGTCATTTTAGTGACAAGGCTATGAGCAACAATAATATTATTTTGAATGAAACCAAAAAAATAGCAGTATTTTTATATGGTAGTTGCTTTTGCGCGCGGCTTCGTCCGCATGTTGGTTATCGCTGTAAAAAGTAGCCTATGTCCTTCCTCAAAAATCAAACTATCTCCATGCCAACTTTTATCTAAATCGGTTCTGCGGTTATTAATTCCTCATACAAACTTTCACCCCCTTCAAGAACGATTTCTGGTAGAATTACTAATCTATGTCCTATGCCTGGTACTTGAACTATCTTTGATCACCTGACCATCTGATTGAAATTGACCATCGCCCATGAACGTCTGCAGGTCAGGAGTCACAACCGCGTTGCCGGCCTTTTATCTTGACGAGCACGAATGGTGTTCTGAGCGTGGACGTAATTGCTTAAATACGACGGTCTAGTGGCTGGTTGTATGTAGTATTTGTCTAAGAAGTTCCAAATAAGAGATATAAACGGCATAACTTTGCTAGGACGATTTTTGCATCAAACCAACGATGTCGCTCCAAAGACTCAAATGACACCGGCTTTGATTTCAAACAATCAATTTCGAGTAGCTATCGGAGAAAACTGAATTCCACTCAGAAATTAATAATAAACTGAGCTTGTTGATTTGTGGAATTTGAGACGACCTTTTTAAAGATAGATTTGACGAAGATTTTCTTAGTAACTTCAAGTGAGGGGTTCCCTGTCCAAGTTTGGACTTGTAAGTTTATTGTTAATTAGTGAAGAAGTAATTAAACTTTGTATTTTAACTAATTCCGGTTTTTTTAACGAACTTGTGTTCATACAAAGTAAAGTCACGCAGTTACCTTTGTATGAACAGTATTTGTTTCACAGTCACAAGGTTTTGAAGGGGAGGTAGCGAGGATTGCAGAATATCTATACTAATATTATAAAGCTGAAGAGTTTGTTTGTTTGTTTGTTTGAACGCGCTAATCTCAGGAACTACTGGTTCGATTTGAAAAATTCTTTCAGTGTTAGATAGCCCATTTATCGAGGAAGGCTATAGGCTATATATCATCACGCTAAGACCAATAAGAGCGGAGCACCAATGAAGAATGTTTCAAAAACGGAGAAAATTTATTACTATTGAGAGACGCAGACGAAGTTGCGCGGGTCAGCTAGTATGATATATTTCAGATCACCTCAGTTCTGCTATCGATTCACCATAAGAGCTTATTTGTACTATGTAAGTAAACACCATAGCGCCGCTTCTTTAATTGATGACAATAATTTAACGTACCACACACACGGTCATCTAATTCCTAACTAGGCATAGCTTTTCTAATCGCTAATTACTAGACTAATAGCCCAGGTGGGTAATAAAGGCTCAGAGAAATTTTCTGGTTTTAAAACAGTGTTTGAATAATTGAATAATAAAACACATTTTGAACTTAACAATTCAATTTTTCAGCACGAATAAAGGTTCTAGAAGAATTAAATACTTGGTTTATTTACGTAAGGGTATTTACACACTTTCAAGTTCGCTCTATTATCGCTGTACGTGACTAGAAATGTTGATAGAAGGTAGATTGGTTTCTCTCATACGTGCTTATACCGGTTTAACTGAGTGTTGTTGTACGTGTATATTTATATATATTTTTATACATGTATTTTATACATATATTCAGACAGGGTGTTTCAGATTGTTGGGATAATATTTTGAGGAGCGCTATATGTACATGAAAGTTGATTTTGCTTGATTTTTCAGAATCAATGAAAAATGCGCAAAAACGGGAAAGTATTATATTTTTATGTATTTACCTTGACCGAATTCCACTTTTTTTGTACAGAATAACAGTAACCATTTTTATTATTCAAAACTATGTTTAAAACAAACCCTTTTGCTTGATAAAATATCAGGTGCGGAATAAAGGGTCTTTAGAAGGTTTATTTTCCTTCCCTCGTAAATGGATGTAAATCACCATAGTTTTAGGTAATAATACTGTTCGTGTACCAAGCACTGAACAAACAATCCAGGGACTGAAGTACGTCACAGTTAGTTGTAGACTTCGTGCTCCGAAGATGTATACTGGGCGCCTATTCTGTTGTACCTTCGAACTATGTTCATTAAACTTCTTTAGCTCGCATCCAAAACTGTATGTTGAAGTGTCCTTGTTTAGGCCTTGAAGTTTCCTCCCAGCAATCATTGCTTCCTTTATGGCGGGTGAGAAGGGCTGGGGCGCAGTGATAGTGATAGTGGGATAGGGCCTTAATCGTCGCGACGAAAATGGGGGGGAGGGGCCTGAAATAACATGGTCCGGGTCCTCCACGGAGTAAGCGCATGAGGCCGGCCGTCCGGGTGGTTTTTAGATGAAACATCACATACTCCTGGCGCTTGGAATTCCCCCTATGAATTTACACTTGTTTTATTTCGATACGTTCTTGGAATATAGTAATGGCATCTAATAAATAATTGACAACAGAATTGGCCCACCTGTAAAACAAACTCAAGCAAGTACAGAGAGGAGATTTGACGGTGTGGTATGGCTAGAGCTTTATAGTTGAAACTACGTAGAAGCACTAGCGTGTCGAGACTGTACACTTATATACCTACAAAGTTTTAATTAGTTTTGTATTCTCTTCAAGATTATATTTTTGGTTTATTACTATGAGGAGAGCTTCTTTAATCACAGACTGAGTCGACCGGAGTGAAACCACGACCTCACAGAAAACCGGACTCCAACTTTCCCTTTTAATTCTGGGAGGAGGGCACTCAAACTTACACTATTTCAATCCAGGAACGCCCTAAGTCTAAAGTTCGACTACTACGAGTATCTAATAGTGGCGTACTTCTAGCGGTGACAAGTCATCGTACGGAATTTAGTCTTGTCAATAAATGTACGCAAATGTACTACATTTAAAAAAATGTACTATAAAAACTTACGAGAAAACAATGATAATACTGTAACAGCTCGGAGAAATTACAAATTTTTTCAGTTCTCCATTCGGTTTTTGCCTTAAACCATAATTTATGAACTGATTTGAAAAATTATTTTCTTTTAATATACTTCCCGTTTGATTTAATTTAATTTAACTTGAAGAAATAAACAAACAGAACAACAGCACTGCAGAGAGAAGGATAACTTGACAAAAGCCCTCAATCAACCCGTCTAGCCAGCGTGGTATAGTAGGCCAAAACCTTCTTTCTAAGGAGAGGCTTATGTCCAGCAGTGGACTGTTAAAGGCTGTTGATGTGATGTAAAGAAAAATTACCAACCCTAAGGGTGGACAATTAAGACATGAAGATTGCAGTTTATTGGATAAAAGCAATCTCTTACAGGCAATCTTTAGATGGAAAAATTGACGATAAATAGATGAAATTATGGGTAGTTTAGTTATGAAAAGTGCTTGAGTTATTATGATATGGTAAAAGCATTATAAATACACTTAAATAGTAACTAGCTTTTCCCCGCGGCTCCGCGTGTATCTCGGTAATCGCGGTAAAAATTAACCTATGTTACATGCTGATAGCTTTAAAATCGGTTTACTAGTTTAGGTGTGAAAGCGTAACAAACAAACTCACTTTCACATCTATACAAATAAATAAAAATTAAAGTGTATGATTGTAATGTTTATATTATTTAATTCACAGTAGTGTTAGATCTACGACTTAAACTTAACGTAACGTAATGTTTAACGGCGAGATGCGCTCGTTAATCAATGCAATAACCTATGTTATACTGTATGTATATCACACATATAAAAATAACAAAATGAGATGTAACACCATAAGGTAGATAAAAAGTAGCCTATGTCCTTCCTCAAAGATCAAACTATCTCCATATAAAATTTCATCTAAATGGGTTCAGCGCTCGTTGATTTCCCATACAAATTTCCACCCCCCTTTTCACCATTTTAAAGGATGATGTCTGGGATAAAATCTATCTTATGTCCCTTCCCAGGACTCAAAGTATCTCTATACTAAATTTCATCTAAATCGGTTTAGCGGTTTAAGCGTAAAGAGGTTACAGATAGACCGACAGCGAGGTACCCAGACAGACACACTTTCGCATTTATTTAGATTTCACATGAAGGTGCCCGACTGGATCTATCTAACTCAAGACAACGGTTAACCGACTCTATATATACATTGTACTGTTTTTAGCTTAATATAAGTTTTTTTAAAAGAGTATCGTGTGCACCACGTGGTAATTTTTTTGCTTCTTTCCACCTACCAAACCATTATGCCTACCATTTGGTGCCTGCCTGCATTTCTGCTAAAGCATTTGACACTTCTCGTGACGAAGGTGTAAGGAATTTTGTGAATAGG